CCCCCCGAACCTTAGACTGTCCCCCTCCCCTACACACCTCCCTCTAGGTTGTTGACCTGGGTCCTGTCCAGCCCCCTGCCTTCCCTCTGTAACCAGTGCCCTCCTTCAAGGCTGTCTCAGGCCCTTAACTCCCAGTGCTCTTCCCTTCCCTCAGCTCCTGGGTGCTGCTCGGGGTGGGAGGAGGGCTCCGCTTCCTCCAGAGGCTGGGCTCAGGGAACCATGCTTTTCCAGTCCTCACCTCGCAGAGCCCTGAACGGGGCCAGCGAGCCTGGTCACAGCACTCACCTTCCCCTCCTCTCACCCACTGAGACCTCCATGGACACTGGCCCTAGATGGGGGAGGCATCACTGCCCTGTTACCTGGCCGTGGGCCACGGATGAGAGGAGGAGATGGCCCCCAGGCGCCCAGCATCCCTCCCTAGGCTGGAGTCCTGAGGACCGTGGCCCTGGGCGGGGTCCCTGGTGTGAGGGAAGTGCCTTGGCTCAGCCTCAGACAGCACCCTGTCACCCCCTGTCACGAGGCCAGGAGAAGCAAGGGGTGAGCTGTGGGGAGAAGGGGGTGGAAGGAAGGGTGGGCCATGAGGCCCGGGTGGGAACATGTGGCGAAATGAGGGCCACAAGGAGCAAGACCTCCAGCCCAGCCCAACTGGAATCCATGATCCCTGCCACCAGCATGCATGGGCCCAAGGAGGCACCTAGACCCTCTGTCATGGGGGTGCCCTGGCTTAGGCCCCCTCAGCCAGTCCCTACCACCATGGGGCCCTTGAAAGCCCACTGATGGGGAGGGGGACAGAGACCTGTGATGCGAAGCTGGATCTTCCAAGAGTCATGGCCTGGCCTGGTGCCACAGCTGTAGGTGCCAGCGTCCTCTGCCCGCAGGGGGCTGATGACCAGGGAGCCATCAGGCTGCAGCCTGTGTCTGAGTGAGTGGAATAGGGCTTGAACTCTGGCCTCCTGAGGACAACAATGAGCCTGAACCCCCCTCGGGCCCCAGTGCTTCGACCAGAGGGGAACGTAGCCCCACATTCACCCCCATCCCAGGTGAAGGCAGAGGGGCTGCCACTGGGGGAGGACTCCTGCACACACCTGTCAGAGGAGAGGGGCTGCCCGTCTTTCTGCCACCTGGTGTGCAGGTCCATGGAGGCAACATCTGGGCAGAAGAGCCGCACCTCCTGTCCCAGGGGCGCCTGCACCAGGGAGGGCTCTGAGGCCGCCAAGCTAATCCTGGAAAGGTGGGAGGTGAGACCTGGCATACTGGCACAGGTACCACAACCAGGGATGACCCCTTCATGTGTCCCATCCTGTCACAGGCACTTGCAGGGCCAGAGGGTGTCATGGGATGCCCAGCTCCAGAAGCTCATGGACTCAGAAATCTGCCTCCCAACCTCCCCACCAGCCCCGCACTGCCACCTCAGCCTGTTCCTGCAGCAGCAGCTGGGGTGGCACGCAGCCCAGGGGTGGAGAGGGTGGGAGACTGCCCTCGCCAGATTCACGTGGGGACTAATCACACTCCTGTTTCACTTTGTTTTTAATCCCCCCAAATCTCTCATTACTATGACACAGCTCCAAGAGCAACAGCAAGTGGAACCCACCCTCACCCTATGAGATAATTGCACCATTTCACAGGCAAGAAGTCGGAGGACTTGCCAAGTTATGAAGTCCATAGGCTTTTCCAACTAGACAGACGCTGGGGACACTGGCAAGATGTGCTGGTGAATCCAGGCACTGCCATGTACTGGCTGCCTGGCCTCCGAGGCCTGAGCCCCCCCAGGAACGAGGCCTCCAGGCGGGGCTGTTCAGAGGATTCGGGGTAAGGGATGTGGAGGGAGGCCAGCTGACCTTGGTGTTTTAGCTCCAACAGGCTCAGCTCCTGGCCTGGGTCCCTCTCCCCCTACCTGGGAAAGGTGAGGCTCACCTGTAGGAGGAGCTGTGGGAGTGTGGTGCTGGCCGCCCAGCATCTCCGCCCAGTCCAGGGGTGCTAGGCCCCAGGGGCCGTTCTCCTGAGTCCTGGGTGTGGTGCGCCTCCCCGGGCCCAGGCTTTCTCTGAGTGGCCTCCTGCTTGCCTCCAGGACTGCCGCTGCCACCATCTCTGTGGGTGCTCTGGCCAGCGGCCCCAGGCTCGGGGTGGCGGGGTGCATGCTGAGAGCCCCGGCAGCTGCTCATGCACTCCTCCTCCGAGGCAAAGTTGTTGGCATTGCCGTGGCAGCCGCCATACCAGAAGCGGTTACACCGGCCCACAGAGGCGATGAAGTACCAGCGAGGGGCCCAGTCTGTGCAGGAGCCCAGGGCGCTGGGCAGCAGGCACCCCACAGGGTATGCTGAGGGCAGGGAGCATGCATGTCACCCGGATGGCCAATACTAACGCTGCCCAGCAGAGCCCTGCCAAGAAGTACCCACCATCCCCTCAGAGACATGAGGCCTTCCCAATTTATGGGGCAGCCTACACCCCTGCCTGGGCCCCTATCTGACCCTGAGGGCGGAGTCTGTTCACTGCCTAGACCTTCCCTGGGACCACAGCAGCCAGTCCACCTCCACCCACAGAACCAGAGCCCTCCACAAGGTCAGGGCTGCGAGCTCCCTGGACTGGCTCCCTCGAGCTCCTCCCCATCCTTGACCAGACCCCTGGGGTGCATGCACACCCAGAGCAATCCAAGAGCTTGACCCTGAGGTGCTCAGCAGGATAAGGACCCAGCCCTGAGCTCCCAGGGGCCTGTGCAGATGCCCAGCGAGGGGCCCACGCTGTCACCAGGTCCCTTCGCCAATCTCAGAACATATCTCCAGCCCCCACCTGCCTGTTCTAGCAGCCTCTCCCCAGCACAGCCTGCTCCACCTCTCCATGTTCCGGTGTGACCGTAGCTGGCCCCTGCTTATAGCCCCGACCACCAGCCTGTCTGGCTTTCAACGTCCCATGTTGGTCCCAGGAAGCTCCATCCATGCATCCCATGCTCCAGCCTCAATAACCTCCCTCCAGGACTCATTCCAGGCAGGGTGGGGACACCCCATCCATCCCAGCACTGACAGCCCTAGGCCATCTCTGCCTCTGAAGGGGTCTGAGCCCCCAGGAAGAAGGACAGGCCTCCCTTCTCTGTGGGGTCCCACCTACAACTCTCCCCAACCCCCACAGCAGCCAGGTGGCCTCAAGTGCAAACTGCTGGAAATGAGAACAATCTGACTCTGTTTCTGGCCTGGCACCTAGTAGGTGATCAATATATCTTTGTGGAAAAAATGAATGAACTGAGGCTAGGAAAGTCTTTGGCTTTGAGTGGGAGTGGGGGCACAGTGGGACCAGAGCCTGCCTACCAAGCTGAGGAAGGACATCCACTCACCGTAGCTGGGCTGGCCCACACAGCCTTCCCCAAAAGGACCTGCTGCAGAGGCCACATTGTCATAGCAACAGCCAAACCGGGAGCCCCGGCACTCACTGGGTTCATTCTGCTGGGCCTGGGGCTGGTGGGCCTGGGGGGCCTGGTGGGCCTGGGGGGCCTGGGGAGGAAGTTGGAAATAGGTCAGGCTCTTGGTGGGGACTCCAGGATCCCTGGGAAAGGATGGCAGGAAGAGGGAAAGACAAAACTGAGCCCACAGTGCAGAACCCCGGCCCTGGGGGGAGATCAGAGGCCAGGAGAACATCAGATGAAACCCCAGCTCCAGACCATTGCCAAAGCTTTGTGTCCTCGAGAGGACAGCCCAAGCCGGCAGGCTTCAGGGACCGCCTCCCTCCAACGCAAAAGCTGCAGTGGCACAGAGCAGGTTTGGGGGCTGGACTCCTGCCCATCACATGAAAGAGACACTTACTGTGGAGGCCACTGCTCTCGACCCCGGCCTGCTCCCTGCGTTGCCATCGCCATAAGACCTTGCACAGCCAGCTTGATGGGGCCCCTCAGCCACAGACACCCAGTCAGGGCAGCACCCGTACCTAGACAGGCATCACACAGGTCTCCCTCACCACCCAGTCTCTTGCAGGGACCCTTAGCTTCCAGCACCCCAGGGCCCCGGCTCTGAGGCTCCCTGCACTGGGGGCTGACCAGGAGAGGGTCTGAGTAAGAGATGGTGTGTCCCTGCATGCGAGGCACACTATTTACATACCCCAGATGCTCTACGTCTACCAACCACTTAGTGGCCAGCAGGGAGGGCAGCAGTAACACATAAGCAGAGTTGCAACCTTAATAATTGGCAAATCCTCAACTCGCACACCCCATCACAAAACCGAGGAGGGGGAATGAATCTGGGCCTGCCTGATCAGGCTCCCAGGGAGATTTTACAAAATAGCAGCAGGTGGGGATGAGGCAGAAAGAGGGTCAGGAATCCAGCATGTATTTCACCCACAACCAGGAATTGGGAAGGAAGGTAAAAGGAAAAACTGATCAGAGCACCTTCCATGAGCCAGGCACCATCGGATCTATTTCATCCTCAGTCACCCCAGCCAATGGCTGTCACTGTTCCCACTTGTCAGCAGAGGAAGCCAAAACCAGAGAGGTTAAGTAACTTGCCCAAGTCACCCAGCACATAGCTAGTACGTGGCTGAGCTGGGAATCACACCCAGGCCTCTGGGCCCCTAGTATCCAAGCCCCTGAGGGAGCCTGGTTCAGACTGAGCGCTGAAATCCTACCCCAGGTGCCTTCCCAGAGCCTCAGGCTACAACTTCACAGGCTACAACTCCACACGCTGACCTCTGCAGAGAAGCAGGCCTTTCACCCCTCTGGGCACCTGAGGAAGCTCAGCCAGAGGAAGCAGTCAGGGCAGCTGCAGAGACCTCTGCGGTGCCATTCCTGAGCTCGGCAAACCCACCCCACCCCTGAGCAGAGAGGCTGCCCTGTGTCAACCACCGTCCCTCCCACCCCCACCCCTCCCTACACATACACCTTCCCTCTCTGACCTGGTGAGGAGAGAGAGGCACCTACTTGCTCTGCTGACAAGAGGTCCCAGGACAGCCTTGCCACTGAGGCCCAAGAGATGCCGTGTAGCCATCGGGGCAGCACCCGTGGGGGCTGTGTCTGCAGTCCTGGGATCCCGAGCCAGACCTCAGGGGCTGCTGGTTCCGGGACTGCCTCAGAGAAGAGGCTGGGCCTGGGGCCGGTAGGTGGGGGTCCTGGTCTCCTCTGGGGTTACCCTGCGCCAAGGGTTGCTCCCGGGGTGCCCACCGCTGGTCTCTGGAATCTAGAAAGAAGAGGAAACAGAAGACACATGATGTGTCCCACTGGTTTCTCACCTCATCTGTGTCTACATCAGACCCACTTATCTCCATCCTCACTAAGCCACTCACCCCCACCCAAACCTCTATCTCCGGGGCCCTGGGTTTGGGGCTTCCACCAAGCTTCTCACCTGAGGTGGGGGCCTCCCGAGGGCCCAGAGACATCCAGGGGGCCCTGAGGCTGGTGTGCATGTCCTGCATGCTGGGGACTTCTGCACGGAGCCAGGCAGCCGGGGTGGGATGCAAAGGAACAGAGGGGAGGAGAGGAGAGGGCTTGAGCCATGGTCAGCCCTGGCCAACATCTGCTCCCACCCCACTGCTCAGGCAGGGCCTGGGAGCCCAGCGCAGCAGAAGTGAAGTGAGCAGTCCCTGTGATTTCGTAAGGCACCCTCCCCATGTTTTACAAGAGTCTTAATCACATAGAAAATGCTAATATCACATGTCCAGCAAAAAACAAAGCCAGATATAAAATTAGCATCTATGTTTGATCCCAACTACAAAAATCCAAAAGTCACACAACTTTTAAAAATTGGATTGACAAAAGAACAAATAATCCAATTTAAAAATAAGCAAAGAACTTGAAGAGGCATTTTTCCAAAGACGACATACAAATGGCCAACAAGGCCATGAGATGATGTTGGACCTCATCGGTCACGAAGGCAACGCTAAACAGTCATGAGATACCACTTTGCACCCACAGGATGGCTCTAATCGAAACATCTGAATCATAAGTGTTGCTGAGGATGCGGACAGACTGGAACTGTCCTCACGGCTGGTGGGACGGCAAGACAGTGCAGCCACTGTGGAAACAGTCTGGCAGGTCCTCAAAAAATTAAACGTTGGAATTACCACACGGCCCATCAATTCCACTCCTAGGTACATACCACCCAAGAGAAATGAAAAACCTTCATCCACACAGAAACTTGGACGTGAATGTTTATGGCAGCACTATCCCACACAGCCAAAGGTGGGACTAACCCAAGTATCCATCAGCAGATGAATGGGCAAACGCCGGTATGTCCATATAGCAGCCAAAGAGTAACGGTGTTGGGGGAGGGCTGGGGCGGGGAGAGATTCCCCGAAGAGCTTCTATGCATACATGCGTAGCCCAAGGACAGACAAAAGTGCAGTGAAGGTCTGGAGTGGGGCAGGGGCTGGGTGCAGAGAGGCAAAGGGGGGAGCGGGGGGCATCTGCAATACTGCCGGCAGCAACGAAAGCACTGGCGTGCTGGGGCATGCCACAGCCTGGTCAACCTCAGGCACATTCTGCTAAGTGAAAGGAGCCAGTCACAAAAGGTCTACTGACCCTTTTCTGTGGTAAGGTCCAGAACAGGCAAATCCAGAAAGACAGGAAGCAGATCGGGCACCGGGAAGGGGTGAGGGTTCCCAGGGAGCCGTGACTCAGCGGGCCCATCGTGCTCTCAGGGGTGATGAAAGCTCCTGAGACTAGGGCAGCTGGTGCCTGTTCAACTCTGTGCTGCCACGAAATGGCACCAAGCTGTTCACTCTGAAACAGCTTAACCGCTTTGAAATGTTTAACCATACTTTACGTGAATTTTACCTCAATAAAAAGATTCCATATTAAACGTAATTGGATTGATAGAGGAAAGGGTAGAAAGAAAATAATGAAAAAGTAAATATAACAAAATACTCATTATAGAATTTAGAAGGCAGGTACCCGGCTCCTCACTATACAGCTCAACATTCCTATATTTAAAGTTTGTCCTTGCCTTGTTGTCCAGCTGGGTAAATTTACTAAAAATCATGACTTATACCATTACAATGAGTGAATGTTAATGGTATATTATATTTAATCGCCACAACAGTTATTCAAAATATTTTTCATCATAAAATGTTGCAGAAAAATGCAAAAGGCTGAGTAAAGAAAATTAAGGCAACAGAAATTTTTAAAAATGATGAATAAAATAAGACATAGAACATAGTCCAAATGCTCATAGTGGAAGCCATGGTAGCTGTGCTTTGCGTGTGTGTGTGCGAGTGCTCATGTGCGTGTGCGCACGTGTGTGTGTGTCTGTGTTGGGTGGGATGGGGGGGTGGGAGGTGTCCTCCCTTCTATTTGTTAGCATTTCTCAAATTTTCCACAATAAGCACACTGCTACATAATTGGAAGAAAATTATAAAAAAAAATAAGTGAAAATTCCATTCCCATATGGACTGCATCTTGCCAGTCCCCAGGGAATATTTACAAAATAATAATTTAGGGTTGGAAGACTTCAGTAGTTATCAGTAAAGTCTTTGTTTTCATTTTCTTACCTATCCTATCCAAGCCAAAACCTCTCTCCAGACTCAAATCCTCCCCCCAGTTCTGTCACCCCCTGCCCACATTCTCTCAGGCCCTGCTTCGCAGTCCCCAGCCAGCCTGCTGTACCCCTGCCACCTCGCCACCGGAGGCACCTTTCTGCCAAGCCCACCCTGCCTCTGGCTCCCCCTGTGTGACTCTTCTCAGCCACCTTTTCAGGCTCCCCTTAGAGTCCAGGACGCTCTCCCACACACCCTCTGGGCATCAGGCTCTGCTGGGCCTGTCCCTTCATTTCTATTGCTCTTTCTAGCACTTGAATTTCCACTGCCTGCTCCCCACCAGGCTCCTGCTTCCCAGCTGTCACCCCTTCAGTTTGATGACCCCTCAGGCAGGTGCCTAATTTGTTCTCCTAAATGGCTTTCATGTTGTCACCGCCTGGCTCCAAAAACGTTCAGTGGCTCCCCTGGGCCCCATGAGACACATTTCATCTGCAGCCCTCAGCATCGCCCCAGCCCTAAGAGCACTGACCTGTACAGACCTCCCGTCACCACCCTCCCACCCTGGGCTGAGGGCAGAGGTACTGAGTGAGCACTTGGAATGTGACCAGAGTGGTCGGGAAACTGAGTTTTACATTCTTTAATTAGGATTAATTTTAAATTTAAATACTGACACTTGATTCATTTCTAGGAAAACACCTCAGTGTGTCTGGAACAACTTGGGTAGTCAATCTACTCTGTCAACTGTACATTTTATGAAATCTAAATATTAATCACATATGCCAGTGAAATGTTAACATCCGAATGGAGCTGTGCTTAAGTATAAATTATATATTGGATTCTGAAGATTTGTAAAACAAATCTTGTGCAAAAAGAATGCAAAATGTCCTATTCATAATTTTATATCAACTGCATGTTTAAAAATATAGTATTGGGTTAAATTAAATATATTATTAAGTATAAATTCACTTGTTTCTTTTTATTTTTTTAATGTGGCTCTCAGAACATTTTAAATGCCATCTGTGGCCGGAGTTCTATTTCTATTGGCGAGCGCTGCTCTAGAGTCTAGAAAGAGGTGGAAGCAGGGGTTGCCCTGGTGTCCACTAGGACACCCACCCCTCAAGGGGCCTCCTCCTTTGACCCCCAGCCCTTCCTCCTGGGCATCCACCAGTAGGCACTACAGCATTAGTTACAGTACCTGAACCCCCAGGAGCCACCACAGTTCTCAATTCTCACCCATCATGAGCATCTATGAAGCTCCTAGAAATCATGAGACTGGAAAATGGTCACAAACCAAATGGCATTAAAGGGAGAAAACAGATACAAAACCACACACACATCACTAGGAAGAACACTAAGTCACTCCTGGATTAGATCGAAGGCAATTTAAGTTTCTCTAGTTCTCTAATTTCTCCAGATTTTCCACAATGAGCATACCTTATTTTTATAACTAAAAATCACTGTGGAAGTCATTTCTTTAACTTAGCCTGCCCTGAAATTCTCTCTCCGTTTCCTTCCCTTCTGCCTATGTGAATGCCTCTCTGGGGAGGCTCAGGGCTGCCTCTTCCAGGAAAGCATCCAGGGCCCCGGGACACCAAGTGGCTCTAGCGACTGGACTCATAGGAGCCTGAGGAGCCTCCTGCTCATGCATCATGAGGGCCAGGCCAAGGCGCCGTGGAGCCTGGCCCAGGGGCCCCTCAGCCTCGCCACCACCACTGTCCATGCTTTGCTTCTCGAGCATTACTCAGGCATTGTGCCAAGCAGCTCACAACAAGCCTGGGAGGTCACTCTTACTAACCCCACTGGACAAACCAAGAATCAGAGAGGCGGGGCAGTTGCCCAGGGCCACATGGTTGGTAGGTGACCGGTTCTTGGCCACCTTGCCATGTGCCTCCACAGAATCCTACGGCTCCCCATCACAGCGCACAGGGCCCCCACCACTAGTATGTCAGGGCCATACACACTTCTCTACAGTATCAGAAGGCCACCCCCGCACCCTAGCCCAACCCACACTTTCCTTGATATCACATCCTCACGCCAAGCAAGTGCTGGCCTCTGTGCCCTTCCTCCTGCAGCTCCTCATGCCTGGGACACCCTCTTTCCCAGTGGGAATGGGGGGAGGAGAAAGTGGGAGACAGATAGAAGCAGTGTGTAAGGATAATCTTCCCTGGACCATCTCCCCCCACTGCACTCATTCACTCAGTACCTATCATGCCAGCAAAGTGCTATGGGGGGTATAAACAGGAATAAGGGAGTCAGAGACCTTGTCCTCAAGAAGTTTATAACTAGTAGGCCTTACAAGCCAGAGACAAGCACTGCAGCACAAGGAAACTAACCTAAGAGAGACAGCAGTTACAGAGTTGTGGGGGTGGGCAAAGGGATCACGGCTGGCTCAGGACGTTGCAGAGCTGCACTTTATGGGTGGCAAAGGCTTCAGTAGAGGGAGATGTAAGAGGAGAGTTTTCCAGGGGCTGACTCAGACAAAGGCCCAGAGGCAGAACATGCTGGCTAGGTTTGTGGTGGGAAAGAGGTCTGGCCAGGCTCCACCCTGTCCTTACCGGGAGGAAGATGGCAGGGCTGCGTGTTACAGGGCTCCACCTCTGCAGGCTTCCACAGCTGCAGGCTCCTACAGTGGCTGGTTGGCCCAATGGCACAGACGACCTGCCGTCTCCGCGTGCCTGAGCTGCAGCTCTTGGAGCACTAGGGCCCATGGGATGAGGAGAGAGAACACAGCGTATATAGAGCGAGCACCACACACAGGGAACAAGCAGCAGGCACCAGGAGCGAGCACCACGCACAGGGAGAGAACCCTTGAGAGTGCAAGTGGGGAGAAGGGCACCCACAAGGAAGGGAGGGAAGGAGAGAGGGAGGGGGAAGGTGCCTGATAATACATGTCAGGCCCAAGGATGGGCACAAGTGCAGCCGCCTGCCAGAGACCAAGGGACAAGGATTGGGCAGCAGGTACCGTGGGCGGGGCAGGCATGAGGGGCAAGTACTCACTAGACCCCAGGCACCCACATGCCAGGCCTGGTCATTGGGGCGGGGACAGTCATCATGCACACACGGCTCAGTGAGAGGTGGCTGGTCCTCAAAGGAGCACGCTGCTGCATGGAGCAGAGACCCCTCATCACCCCGGCAAGTGACGCTTCTCCTCCGGACCCCAGCACCGCAGCTGACAGAACACTGTAAGGACCAGGCCGTCAGCAGGAGGTTGTCTGAGAAGCCATGCTGGGTCCCAGGGCTGGAGGCCCACAGGCCCAGCATGGAGGGTGGACAGCACCCTACTGCCCATGTCCAGCTCCCAGGCCCAAAGAGGCCGAGTCACTCCCCTGAGGTCACACAGCCTGAGCCATGGATACTGACACCAGGCTGAGGTGCGTTTTCCACCTTCCTTCATCTACAACTTCAACTTACGTAGGTGTCGGAAGTGCAAGCCCCTCCCTTGCCCCCAAACAACATGTCCAGCTGCTTCTTCCTACCAAGGCAAAGCTTCTCCCACCCTGCCTGGGACCCTCGAGGAGGAAGAGCACTACAGCAGAAGTCCAAGCCCCCGCTCGCTGTCCCAGCCTTGGCCACTGCTTCCAAGCCCACCTAGCAGGTCACTTTATCTCCCATGATCTGTTTCCTCAGCAAAGAACAAACCTCCCAGCCCTGCCCTAGACCCAAGACCTAGCTTCTGATTTCCACCCCACCCCTGCCTGGCCTGGCCTCACCTCTCCCCAGGGCTCCTCGCGCCAGGCTGCACAGCGCTGCAGGTTGCAGGCCTGGGTGGTAGCGGGTTTCCCAGGCAGGCCTGCACACTGGGCCTCCTCCATAGCCTCCTGGCTGCCAGCCCCATCGGACCAGATACAGTAGACGGAGCGGGACTGGGAGCCACCTCCGCAGGAGGCTGAGCAGGGTGTCCAGGGCCCTATCATCCAGCTGGCAGAGAGCAGGAATTGGTAAGGCTGGCCCAGCAGCAGGGGGCCGAAGCCCAGGCCCAAGGGGGCGCCAGCTCTCACACAGGAGTGGACTGGAGACCCCCCACTGGACCCATCCTCTGACCATCCAGGCCTGTGCAGCTGGGGGGCAGAGAGCTCTGACAAAGGCCAATACCTGGGACCTCTCACCATCTCCCACTACCATGTTATGTGCTGGCCCTGCAACACAGAACCCAGCTGCCTCCCTTTCAACTTTCCTGTCCTCACCTCCATCTCTCTGTCGCCTTCCCACCAGGTCCCAGACTTCATTCTCTCAGGGCCTGACCTTGGTTGAGGGCATCTCCCAGGGGGATAATCCCAGAGGAGCTGTGCTCACCCATGTGTGGAGTGGTCCTACCTGGCCCTGGGGCACAAGGACCCAGAGGAAAGGGCAACCTCCACAACACATGCAAAGCCAAACCACCACCATCCTGAGAGGCCAGCTGCCACCCAGGCACGAGGATGGAAGGGTTGTAGCAGCCCTGCAGGAAGCCTGCGGCCTGCAGATTACCTGTTCCCACACATGTGGGCTCCGGCAAGGCACCACACTCTGGGCAGGTGCAGGTACAAACAAAGGCACTGCAGGTGCCTCAGGCCCTTTGGTCCAATCCCTGGCCCACTTCTGGGCATCTGCCAAGCCAAGCCCCTGCCAGCTCAGACAGACAGGACCTCTAGTACCTTTCCTCCTGCCATCAGCCTGGATGCTCTGGGCACTGTGTGCACACAGGGTGGTCAGGCGAGCCCCAGGCGTCTGGCTTAGGCTCCTCCACTGTCTCCTCAAGTGACAGTTGCCTCCATCCCCACTCCAGCCACAGCTGTGGGGATCCCTAAGTCACCCACCCTCTTTGCTCAACACGTAAAGCAGCCCAGGCACCCCAATCCCTCCCACCCCAGTGCTTGGGCCCCACCGTGAGTGGAGGGGGCTGGCAAGGGCCTCACCGCTTGGTCTGCGGGCAGGGGTGAAGGCTGCAGGGGCGGTGAGTTGCTGGCCGTGGCTGGTGCTGGCACATGTGGTCAGGGTAGACCTCATTGTCAATGGTGCAAAACACTGGGCGGGACTGGTAACCTGCAGAGGCCCGGCCATGGTGGGAGCTGGTGAGTCAACACTCACCAAACACCCTCTCTGGGCCAGGCACCATACTAGTCGCCTTGATTGAGCCTCAAATGACCTCTGGGGTAAATGCCATCATCATCTCCAATTTACAGACGAGGAAACTGAGGCTCAGAGTTTTATGTGAGTGACCAAGCCCCGCTTTGACAGCCGATCATCGGCTTCAGGCTCGGCGTCTACTGCCCATAGAGCACCTTCTCCTATGAGATGCCATGCTCTTGGGGAAGCCCTCTCTGGTTCTCCCAGCTTAGGTAGGGGCCCTTTGTGGAGTCCCCCGACCCCTGAGTTTCCCCAAGGTGACCTCCTTGACCTGCAGATGTCCACCTGCCCCGGAGAACTGGAGCTTGAGGAGAGGACCGCCCCCTCCCCTGGGCCCTCACCTTTGCCACACTCCACACTGCAGTCACTCCAGGAGCCATGGCTCCAGCTGAAGCTGGGCCTAGGGGTGCTCAGGGGCAGGTAGTACTCGTAGCGCACGCCAGGGCTGGACTCCTGGCTGATGAGCTGCGGTGGCAGAGGGGAGGGTGGGTCCTCATTGAGGCCTGTCGCCAACAGCTACCCCCCTCCACCTCATTCCCACAGCCCTCTTGCTGGCCCAGGCCCAAGGTACCTGCCATGGTCTCTAGGGGACCAGGTGCCCCCTCCAACCCAGAGGTCTCTCTTGCCAGCCCTGCTCACCTCAATGACCAGGGGCTCCGAGGTGGGGCCTCGGGCATGGAGCTGCTCAGGTGCTAGATCCCCCTCAGCACCGCGCTCATAGTGCAGGATGGTGCTGGCCACGGGCAGGGTGTGGGCAGCCTCGATGGTCCAGTGCCCATTGAGGTAGTACTCCCCCTGAATGCTCTTCACCGCTGTGCAAGGTGAACCCCCTGGTTAGCTGCCAGGGCCACCAGCTTCCCTGCTGCAGCTCCCAACTCCCCCAGACCCAAACTGTCCTCACCCAGGAAATTCCTGCTGGCAGCCACCTCCTCGATGCGGATGCTGGTGGCCCCCACAGGAACGATGAGGATCTGGTTGTAGCCTGTGGAAGCGGAGAGACTCTAGGACCACTCAAGCCATAGGGAGGAGTTGGCCCGGAGGACGCCAAGTGCTCAGCAGCACAGATGGGGTCAGGGAAGGGCAAGTAGGAGACCACAGGGCTGGGCTGCCCAGGGAACAGTGATCCCCAAGAGGAAATAGCACTACAAAGGCCAGGGGGCAGGCAGGCTCCAGCACCCAAACTGATGGGGAGGGGCAAACCGGGCAGGGACAAGGAAGGGCATTTAGGTGGCAGCAGCATAAGATTACAATGGATGAGTGGGCAGAGGTCATAACTATCATGGGCCCACGGGCTCCTGTGAAAGGGTTGGGCCTGCACCCTGGGCCATGATCTTGGGACTTTTAGGCATGGCCTGAGCACCAGATCAGACCCTCCCAGTGCCATGACCACTGTGAGCCAGAGCAGGAGACAAACAAGGAAGGGACAGACAACAGACCCTTGTCACAACTGTCTGTGGAGGACCCCCACCTCTGCTGAGGTCACTGACATCAAAGGTGCCGGTGACAGGGTAGCAGGTTGTGCCATCACCCCCACACTGCAGACACTTGTCCTCCTGCTTTGATGAATCTAGCATGTGGTCACAGCCGACAACCTGCCAGGCAGAGATGAAGGAGGGACGGGACCAGAGGGAGTCACCAACACACCATGATTCGATCCCTGGGTGCCTGCCCAGGTCAGGGAGGAACAGTAACTACAGTTGACCCTTGAACAACATGGGTTTGAAGTGTGTGGGTCCACATATATGTGAATATTTTTCAATAAACACATTGGAAATTTTTTTGGAGATTTGCAACAATTTGAAAAACCTCTCAGACGACCCAGGAAGCTTAGAAATATCAAGGGGCTGAGTAAAACTTGGATCTGGCCTGTGGCTGACAAGCCATCTCTTTTCCCTGCTCAGCACCCATCTCCCCTTCTCTAGCAATAACACTTCATTTCCTTTGGGGACCACCTCCTTGGACAGAGCTCCCCAACAGTGGGTTTGGGCAAATCAGTGGGCTGTAAGCCTTGCTCAAAGAGGGTGGTTGAGGGGAGCTCCAAGTTAAAACAAATCAGAGGCAACCTAGGTCACTAAAACTCCTGGCAATGGGGCACCCTTTCCCAGGGAGTTGCCAGGCTGGGACAGCTGAAGCCAGGAGCTGCTGGGGCCATCTTCACACCTCACGGGAGGAACCTGCCTAATCCTAATGCAGAGCCGCAGGAGAGGAAAGACAAAAGTCAAGGAGAGATTTCCAGCGGCATCATTCAGACACCTGCAGCCAGCCAGCCCATCCCTTGATGGCTTTTTTAAAAGTCAGTTTCAGTTGGGTTCTGTAACTTGGCACCCAGAGGATTGCTCTTATTGTGGCGCTAGTTTTCATAGGGCAAAGGTAAGAGGGTCACAGGGCATCTGTGATGAAAGGCAGCTTAAAAGCTAGTCTTGAGAAGACATCAAGCTCACGAGGGCCATGGCCAGCTAGGAGGTGGGGGGACACTCACCCGACAGATGCCATCCACACAGACATCCAGTTTGCCAGGCTCGCAGGGCGTCCCATCTACCACGGCCTCCCTGTGCTTGTAGTAGAAGCTCTCCCCTTTGGGGATGCAGGTCAGCTCACACTTGTTTGGGGCTGGGGCAGGCAAAAGGGGAAAACTGAGATCCTAGTTAGGTTCAAGGCCTATCCTAGCCACAGTGGAGCGTGGGCAGGGCCAGAAGCACACAAAGGGGGAGAGAGAAAGCCCTTGCAGCAGCCTCCCAACACACAAGTGGCTCAGAGTCCCACCCCCATCCCAGGGAGAAGGGATGTTCTCCACAAAACTGCTGTATTTCTGGGGCTCAAGTCCAAGGGAAATCCCAGTGAAGAAACACTAGACACTGGAAGAGGTCTGTTTCAGCATTACCTACAGTAACCCATGTGTTCATAATCAATGACTCTTTCAGTAAATGACCTATCAATAGAATGTTATGCATGTTAACAATGCTGTTAAAAATTATGAAGACTTGCCCTAGCCGGGTGGCTCAGTTGGTTGGAGCATCGTCCTATACACCAAAAGGTTGTGGGTCAATTCCCAGTCAGGGCACATACCTAGGTTGTGGGTTCAATCCCTGGTTGAGGCGTGTATGGGAGGCAGCCAGTGTTTTTCTCTTACATCAATGTTTCTCTCTCTCCCCCCACCCTTTCCTCTCTCTCTAAAATCAGTAAAAACATATCCTTGGGTGACGATTAAAAAAGTTATGAAGACTATATAGTAATGTAGGAGGACGCTTATAACACAATGCAAAACGGTACAATGTCATAATTACAAATATGTAAACATATAGAGAAAATAATGTGAAAAGAGCCAGAATGAAATGCTAGCAGTGATCCTATGAAAGAGGTGGGGTGAACAAGGTGAAGTTAAGGTCTTTTTTTTTCTTGTTTTAATTTTTATCTAAATATTATATACACATTGTTTAAACAGCCCCAAAAATGCTAATAGGATTGTAATCACCTCCACAATAAAGAAAGCATCCCTCTGCAACCCTTTTTAAACTTTTCTGTGTTTCTATAATATGGGTATATTTACTGTATTTTCAACATATGCTTATCTCAGAATTTAGGAGGAGCAATGAATGCCAACGGTCCCCACTGGGGACACCCCCTCTGGCCAAGACCCACCTTCCCCCACAAAGCACACACAGGAGATAAATGTTCAGAGACTTGGAACCCGGAGGGCCATAGTTTCCAGGAGTGATCTGCAGTTAGCAGTGAAAGCTAACACTCAGGAGAATTATCCTAAGGTGTCTTCTGACTCTGAATTGTTGTAATTACATACACGTTAGTGTGTTGTTGTTGTTTTCTTGAACTGTATTGCTCTAAAAATTAACCTACATATACCCTCCTCAAAGTTACCCAGAGCAGCCCAGCCTAGGGACCCTGAGATCATGGGCTCCTGCCAAACTCGGCACTGTCCCTCCTCACCATGGCCTCTGCCCCTCAAGGAATGTTTCAGGATCAGCAAAAACAGGACTCAAAAGGGCAGGGCCACAGCCACACTTTGTTTGAACATGTACAGCAGGGAAAAAGATGGAAAGTCCTCGAGGTAACCGCCGCTGCTGTGTCATGATGGGCACACACTGGGGGTGCTCGGGAATTTTCAAAATGTGGTAGACAAAGCGGCTACACTACGATAATAAGCAATGTGAAATGAAAAGTCAGTGTGTAAAAGGGATCCCAAAAAGGTGGGGTGAGCATAGGAACGTACAGGCGCAGGGCAGGATGGCAGTGCCACCCACGAGACCACCTCACTCACCCCCGTAGTAGGGCAGCCACTTGTACCTCCGGCCCTGGAACTCGTGGCTGTCAAACTCCGAGCACTGCTCCGCCCTGAAGTCTCGGGCACCTTCGGGGCAGCTCTGCGGGGGCAGAGGGGCGAGGGAGGGGAAAGTGAGGCAACCTCTGGGGTCTGCCGGCCCCAATGGTTCTGGGGGGATAGGGTCCTGTTCCCCTCAACCCCTGCTGTGCCTCAGGAGGTAGCATGGTCCTGGGCTCCCCTCCAGGGGCCAGGGCTTTGGGCTGCTCCAGGGAGCTGTCACTTACCTCAATGTGGCAAGAGCGGTGTCTGCGAGTGGGGCCCACACAGCTGGAGCCCCCATCTCTCCTGCGGGACAAGAGCATCGGAAGCCCCCACCTGTAACCCAACATCCCCAACCCTCCTGGGGCTCTGCCACAGGCCCCCTGGCCTCTGTGGGACTCCTCTGTGGGCCAGAGAGGTAGCAAATCAATGTGGGGGAGTGGAGGGGCAGTGTCCACACATAAATCCCCTTAGCAAGTGCACTATTTGGGAGAAGTTTGTATTTGGGAGGAGATTCAGAGCTGAATCATCCTGGAGTTGGTCTAACTCAGGGGCCACTCTGATCTGAAGGTAAGTTTCCATAAAAGCGCCCAGTTCTGCTCTTGGAGATAAAATAGTATGTAACATATCCCCACCTGGTAAGGTTATTCTGCCACTTAAGGAGTAAATGAGTACAAGGTGCTTAGAATAGTATCTCACCTTTGTCTTGACACAGGAACAGTGATTTAAACCCACTTACAGGCAAGGTGTCATCGCCCCTTCTTTTGTGCCCACCCCTCTATAGCACCTATCAGAGCACAGGACACATAGTAGGTCTTAAGGCACTTAAAGCGGGAAATATCTATACTTGATGAAGGCTGAAGGCAGAGAAACTGCACAGGTCAGCATTGCTGAAGATTATTGATTCTGCAGGAATTGACTGCACCTGCCCTGTGCCTGCACTGCACTGGGAGCTAGAGACTCGGGTGGATGAAGCAGGCATGGCTCCAGCTCCTCCGAAGTACAGCTGATTGTGGAAATCAACTGTAAGTATGGGAAAATTCGTTGATTTCAAATACTCCATCCATGCTGCACCCAGGACAAATCTATTGGGTGGTGGGTCCTGTCCATGTGACCCAGTGCTGGCCCCGGACACCTGGCCCAGGACCCAGCTGATCCCTGTGCCTGCCCTGCCTAACAAGCTGGCCCTTTCTAGCCTGCCCACCTCTGCGAGTAGCAGGAGCGCTCCTGGAAGGTGATGCCCCCTCCACAGGTCCGGCTGCAGGGGCTCCAGTTACCCCAGGGGCTCCAGGTGTCACTCTGTCGCCTCACCTTGGGAGCCTGGAGGAGAAGACACGCTCAGGAACCTGAGTCAGTACTCAGTCCCCACAAGGACACTAAGAGGCTTACCCCAGCCCCCACCTAAAAACAACACTCCCCCACCCATTCAGGGAGTCTGGGGTGCTTTCTCCTAGAGCCCGCTCTTTAGGACTCAGTAACACCGCCAGACATCGGAACATAATTTACAGAATTAGCTGGCTTTCACCATAAGGAGCTGAAAGCAGGATGCCACATCTCTCAAAGTAGCCATCAGCAGCAGCTCTTTGCCAGGCATGGTGGGGAAACCACCAAGCTAAGGGCAAAGAATTGCTCCCCTGACAATGCTACCCACTGGTCTGTGCAGGGTCTGGTTGGACAATCAAGGTGTCTGCAAACACTGTCTTGCGTGGGAGCCCCTGGGTCAGCAGAGCAGACTTTCCCAGGAGGGAGATATAAAAGGGCAGGAAGAACAGGGCAGTTCTCAGGTAGGCAGCGCCCCACCTGTGCAGGTAATGTCACACACACACACACACACACCGTCCCCCCGCCCCCCCCAAGCAGCACCATGCTTCACCAGGATCTAGAATGGAGAAGCCACACCAGGTCTCGTTGCACCTGCCTCTGCCCCGGGTCGTGACCTCACTTCTGGAAGGGTCTGTAGTTCTGGCCTATTAAATTAATTTAATCCTAGGAGGGGTAGAGGGAGAGGTTGTGAGTTCTTCCTGCCAATCTGGGGCAGACTCCCAGGAGTTCCCCAATATCTATTCCCCTTCTCCCATTGTGAGAGAATCCCTGACTCTTAGCTGGATACCAGGCTGCCTGCCCCCAAATTCATTTCCCAGACTTCCTGCACTAACTGTGGCTATATTGGTAAATTCTCATCAATGAGATGTGTTGGGCAGCAGCCCCCAGTAATCTCCTTAAGAGATAGCTTGCATGTGCATTTGTCCTTCCCTTCTTTCTCCTGTACTCCTCCCTGTTGGTTGGAAAGCAGATGTGATGGCTGGAGTTGGAGCAGCCTTGTACAATCTCAGGTAATTCAGGAACAGAGGCTTCAAACAGTGAAGCAAAGATAGAAGGATCCTAGAGCCTGGAGGACTTTGTGAGACCAAACAACCCTGGACACTGACCTCTGGGTATTTGAGAAAGGGATCACGTCTCTCTTGTTGAAGAACTGTAATTTGAGACTCCATAACAGGAATATAATCCTGATAGAGACAATTTCCCACCAGAAAGATCTGACACCCTGAGCTGGCAATCAGAAGTTCACATGCTACACACGTTTTCTCACTTAATCCTCAGAACAACCTGCCATCTGGGATCACACTGCCGAGGAGGAAGGAGAAGGCACCTAATAGAACCTAGGGCACTTTGTGGACCTTGACTCATTTCATCTGCACAGCACAATGTGGTTGGGTAGTATTACCCCAGTGCACGGATAAGAAGAGAGGCAGAAAGAGGGAGCGGCACACGAACAAGTGGACACAACGGCAGGTCAGCTACACCCCAGGGCTCTGCTCCCAGCTACCTCACTGGGGGGACCACGTGAGACACAGATGAGTCTTAAGGAGCTGGACAGGTGTTAGATTGGCTTCACTGTTTTGCCAGGAGGCAGAGTTGTACCGAAAGTACATCCCATTTGCTGGAAGGGGACTTTATTTTAGGGCATCAACACATAAGAATCTCTAGGGGGAAAAGCCATTCCCGTTTTCCCTAGAAAGAACTCGAGCCCTAATGTGGGGAAGCAAGCTCTTCCTCCTGCTGTGGGCGCCCCGCAACTTCACAGGGCCTCGGGTGAGTTTATGCATCCGCGGTTCACCCACAGCTCAGCTCTGACACCCCTGGTGCCAAACGCCTAGTTACCCTTGCTTTCTAATAGATCCAGAACCCCGAGTCACAACAAATCACTAAATGTGCTGAACCACACACGAAACGAAGAAGGGCGGGCGAGCCAGACCAAGGTCTTAGCTTTCACTCTTCAAAGTATTTATCCTTCAGTTCTAATGGGGACATAACGGCCAAGCTTTTGAAAACCAGTGAACCAGAATAGCAAGGTGTTCTCTTAATAAAATTTAAACTGGAATTCACTTGGTTGGGTTCCTGTTTTAAAGGTGCTGAGTGTTGAGGCTGGGACGACCAGTCCCTCCCCCACCGCACACACACAGCCTCCTCACCACATTCTAAGAAGCTGCCCACAGGGGCTGCTGCTTTCTCATCCCGCTGGCCTTGGTCTGGTTACTAATTACCCTCTGACCAAGACCTGTCTGGATGTCAGTCTTGCTCCTGGAGCACAATCTGCGGTAGGCAGTTACACAGACATGAGCAGAGCAAAGACGACAGGTACAGAAGGTCATCAGGGTGGAAAGTCTGAGGTGACTAGCGATGGACAACTGTAGGGTGGGACCTTTCCCCCAGGGTGACACCATGCCTCCTGGGTGAACTTTCCTCCCCTAGCATAATTGCTGGTCATGCCGGTTGGACCCCTTGACCTTTCCTCCCTAGAGATAACATCTAGGCCTCAGTTGTATTTCAACTCCAGACCCAGAAAACCAAAACCAGGCCAGAGAACCCATGGCTGACCTCTGGACCAGCTGCATTGGATAATGACCCCTGCCCTGGTGCTGACCAATCAATCAGTGGAGACCGACACCCTGAAAGGACACACCTGGAAAACTGTTGAATATTCTATTGGGGTCTTCCCCTGGGACCTCCCCTAAAGTGTCCACCCTTAAAAACCTTAGGAAGGAGGCTCCAGCTTGCTCTCCTTCCAGGGAACACGCCAGCCTTTCCCCTACAGCCCCTACTCCTCCCACCAGGTACATTACCATTAGCTTCCTCACTGGCAAGCTCCAAGGGCCCTTCTTTTACCTCCATAACTTGTTTCCTAAGCTCATTTCTTCTACCTCTGGTTTTATACAAATAAATGTTCTCTTATAGTTGGCTCTGAATTCTTTCCTAGCCAGAACTCAAGTACCAAGGTTGTGGTTCCCGCCACCATAACAAATCCACCCTTCCCTTGCCCAGGGCTGGGCTTACTGGTGTGGACGAGGTAACAAGGGGCACCCCTCCCACCCAGCCACTTTCTGGGTGCCAAGATGGGGTGGGGAGAGAACTGGCCTGAACACAGGGCCTTACAAACATCCCCTTGCCTCACCCTCCCAGCACCTGTGAGGCCCAGGGCCACCAGCAGGCAGGATTGGGGAACCTAGCCTGCCAGATCCTGAAGCTGTGCCATCCACTACTCCAGGAAATAAAGCACATTCAGCCACGAGCAGCACAGGCACATTTTGTTTCCCCATAATTACCCAAACCACAAGCTGACGGTGTGAAGCTAGAATGAGCTGGCCCAGTCTACCCTCACCCTGGCCTGTCCTCACCTGCCTCCTGCTGCTCTCAGCACCCCACCCACTCCTGCAACTCCCACCCGGGGCAAAGAGCCCCCTTTCCCAGGGGACCAGCTGCCCAATGTGCACAGATGTGAAAGGGTATGAGAGAGAGGGCACGTGCGGGTGGGAGGCAAGGGGGCTGGAAGTTCCTGGCCTCAGGAAGCCTTCCCCGACAGGGGAGGGGTTGGGGGAGGCATATCTCTGCTTTATTCCTCTTTAATCCTCTATTCACTCAGTTCAAACTGACCCATCAGCACCAGAACAGCTGAAGAACTGCTGGGGGAACGTGTGGTGGATCCTGCCCCAGCTAGAACCACAACCAGGGGCAGCTGAGCAGTGAGCCTGAGCCACACCCTCCTCCAGACAGTGGAGGAGGGGGCAGGAGAGTTCTCAGCCCCACCGTCCCAGCCTCGGCTGAGATCACCACTGCTGAGGACGTAGGAGGAGGCTACTCAGGTGTTTCTAAGGTTGAAAGCACCTAATAGGACCCAGGGCACTTTGTGGACCTTGACTCATTTCATCTGCACGGCAACCTGTGGGTGGGCATTATTCCCCAAACTGAAGGAATTGGTGGCCTGGTGGTTTGCTTAGGGTCACACACTCTTAGTGGGTGTCTCTGGGTTTCATCCTGGGGTTTTGACACTGGTGCCATGAACCCTACAGAGCTGTGGCTGTTATGCACCCAGGTACCAGGAAGAAGCCTGCCCCAAGGACCTCAGATGTGGCATTTAGGGAGCAAGGACCATGGCATGGCAAAGTTGACTGTGGGAACCTGGCAGGTGGTGGAGAGGACCCGAGAAAGGAAGGCTCTATCCCACCCACCGCTCTGTGGCTTGTGCTGGATCGGTGGGGCTTTGGAGGAATGCCGGCTGCCCTCCGCTAATGCCCATCCCTGCCTGCCCTTCAGGGCTCTTCTTATCTTCAACTCACATTTCCACAGAGCGGCGTTTCCCTGCCCACCCCAAGGCAGCAGCTTCTGTCCTTTCTCTCTCACCTGCCTGCCTCACAGAGGGTGGGACAAGGCTGTGGGTCTTTCCTGGGGAGAGCTCTCTGCACCTCGGCTGGTGCCAGCATTGCCCCCCTCCTTCCACCCTGGAAGACCTCCCCAGGGTTCCCAGCATTAGCTACACCCAGCACCTTCTAAAGGTGGGGGGGGGTGCTGGGAAGTTGCCATTCCTGCAATTGCAAACTGCACCCCCAGCCAAGGGAGCAGTTCTGGGCCCCTGGGGGTGAGCCGGCTCCAAGGTCCTACCTCTTTTCGAAGGAGCTCAGGCTGAGGGCTCGCCTCCTCCCACCCCATTTTCCTAGCCCTTGGCCCTCTCCTGGGGTTGTCGCCACGCCGAGGGGTGGGGGGCTCCAGCGGGCACCCGCCTCCCCAGCAGGGTCGTCCGGGGCCGGGCAGGGCCGCACTCACCGAGGACCCGGGCGCCGGGGCCAGCAGCAGGGGCACGAGCAGGAGCAGCTGCATCTCGGCCTGCGGGAGACGTCGGCTTGGAGCGGGCGCGGCGAGCAGGC